AGCCGGGCTAATGTTAGCAAACACAGTTTGCTCTTTAGCATCCAAAGACCAAACAAGTGTTTTCAGATATATAGGTGTCTGTTCATGTTTTTACAAATCAAAGATGCTTGACGATTATATTTGTTCTTGTTCTTTTGATAACCATAGTGGCTTATTTGTTTAGATACTATATTGTGTCCCTGCGCTGAGAAAATTATATTGGCGGCTCTTCTCCAGTTTAATAGGTAGTAGGAGAAAGGAGTTTTTATATATACAATCTCTTTAAGTCTGACTGGGGATTTGTGCTCCTTTTCCTCCCCCTTTAGTTTTCTTCTCCAGGGCACAAACCTTTAAATGACCATAAAATTAAAAGATGTCTCTAGTTTCCATGTTAACGCACAAAATGCTGAAGGAAAACAAGTCCTTCGGGATGGGATTTATTCCACCAGCTCAGGAAACAATTTGAAATATACGCCCCGAAAACGTGACAGGAGTCCCCTTTGTTAAAAGCCCCGCTGAGACAGATAGACATGCATGTTTGGTAAAAAGATCAGTCCGATGAGGAGCCCTCATTGGGAGCAGGACGTAAAAAAGGAGCTTTGATTACCAAAGTTAGAAAAGAAAGGGAGCGATATAGTTACCTGAAGCCAGCAAAATCCTGCCCGGGGATATAACTTTCCTTGTTTAGGAGGGTAATTGGGAGATTAAAGAGCACAGCCTTCTCCTAAACAACATCGGGCCATTATCTGAAGGGTGGTTTGCTTTGGCAGATCCTGGTGTAATGGGATAATTAAAGAGGTGCGAGATAGCTTAAACAAACACACACTCCAACGGGATAGGGTTCGGTAGAGGGATTAGTTTTAAGGACCATTATTGTGTTTTACAAACAGGAGATCTGCTAAATTATTATTTGTATCCGGATTATTGCTATGGAAATGTATTTTCACACGGGGTCTAAACAACGATTAATAACTCAAAATCGGAACACAAATAAATCCCTAAACGTACAAAATAGTCACCTTTTCGGCCAATTCCTTCTGGCAAGAGAAAGCGAATTGCACGTCCTTTCTTTAAATTTTGGTTTTCTAGTGATTGCTTTAAATCTGGAACTACCTAAAGCCGGACCTCCTGTAACTGCGGCAGGAGAAGTAATAACAACAATACAGTTAGTTGGGTTAAATTATGTAAATATCGGCGCGTTGCTGCATTATCTCTTCCTGATCTATGATCGCTCATGGAATACATTTCCGCAGAAGCAGGTAAAGTGCAGAGAAACCAGTTGTGGGCATTTGAGACGGAAAATTGACCAGATGTTTTAGCGACACACACACAGATCCGCTGTCTTTTTTCCTTTCGGGTCACCCTTTCTTCCAGATCAGCTTTGAGTGAAACATGCGATTCGAGGCTGACTTTTGTGAGTCTGCCCGTCTTTCCCTCCTTGCAAAGAAATAGGAACGAAGAAGGATGTTATCGCTAGGTTTAAAGCGACGTGCAGTTAATGCAAGGAGCTTGCCCTTGTTAGTAATAGTGTGTTTTTCCTCCCGGTGGGGATGGGGGCGGGGGCGGGGGCAGGGTGAGTTAGATGCTGTTCAATTTGTTGTTGTACTTTGGGGAAATCTTCAGCAGTTCCCCTCTGCCCCAACCACTTTCTCTCGCGTTTGCTCCTCAGTACTTGCCTCTTAAGTCACCTTCCAGGGTGACTCCTCAGAGGCTACCCAATAGCATAGACGCAATACATCTGGATCTAGGCATTCGGGGGGTCACTCCTACTTCACTTGAACTTCCTTCCGGGGTTTTGCTGGTAATACAAGTCAGATATTCCAGGAAGACATCTTTTGTCTTTCTATAGCTGAAATTGTGTGTGTGTGTGGAGGGGTGTCACACACGTATACTGGACTGAAAATTCAAATAATGTTAATAAAAGGGCAGCATATTTCAACCGAGTGCCATTAGACAGGCTAAACTATGTAGCCGGCTAGATTGTGGAACATTCTTTCAGTGGACCTGGCTGGAAGTCCAGGGTTTAAAATCGGACTGGATAAACCATTCAACTCCACAAGGAACAATCCTGCAATGACAAGGAGACAGACTCTCACACAGCAGAAGTTGAGGTTCTGTCAATACAGTGCAACGCACTTTCTTTTCGATGCCCTGGAATTTAACAGAGGCCTTATCCCGAGGGAGGGGAGACATACCACCGTTCTTTTAAAAGAACAACAACTGGCTGTAACAGCCACACAAGAAGCGACTTCGAAGTTTTCAATATAGCGATGGCTGGTCAGTTTTGTTGGTGTGACCCGTATTCACAGTGTACAGATTTATCCGCACATGTGCTTGGGGTCGGCTCTGGCCCAGGTACTGAGCGATCTCAGCTCACAAGTCAGTAAAGGCTTAGGGTTTCCGGCACCACGCAGGACCAGGGGGACTGGGCTTAAGGTACCGAATTTGGGAAAGGCTTAGAAATGATATGCATCCAGTAGACTTTCTTCGGACTCTCAGGAGGGAAGAGGGGACCTGGGACAGCCCTCGCTCCTGCTCTTGTTTTAGGTTGTGGAAACCTCGGTTGAACCATATTGCAGTCCCTAGCGTTGTGAATGATTAACACTGCCACGCTGCTGAGGTCTGGGGAAGAGATGGGGGCGCAGCAGCTGCCCTGGGGGGAGGGAAGGTTGGAGACTAGAGCCTCCAGGACTCCGAGAATGACATACCAGGGGATCAAAAAGGCAGCGTGACCAGGGCAGGACTTCCCCTCCAAGCACACTGGTGTTTTCTCTGTTTAATACAGAACAAAGGAAAGGTGGCACAGCCGCTGCTGGAGAAATCAAAGCAGGCGAGAGGTGACAATCCCACACTGTGTGCGCGTGTACCTGCCTCACACTGAGCGTGCACATTGTGTGCGTCTGTAGCTGTCTAGTGTAGTGAGCGTCCATGCCGGGCCCGGCCCCCAGGGCTATGGATGATCTGAATGGGCATCACTAAACTCCTGCCTAGCTTGCCAAGCGGATTTGTAACCGCTGGAATTCTCCCCCTTTCTTTGTGCTTGCTAGTGTGTGTGCTTGTGTTTTGTTTTACCTTCTTGAGCGAAAGAAAGCGGCCCGGTGAGCTGCTGCTGTCAGTCCTCATCCATTCCCCCTTGATTGGTTGTTGGGTCGCCAGCTACACAGATTCATATCGATGGATTAAAAATCCCGAGAGGAAAGTATTGAGTACTTGGCTGCAGTTGTGTGAGACATTGAACTATAGGTGCCATATGTGCATTATAACCTAACCCACTCCTACCCAAGGGCCTGCTCCTGCATCCCATTGAAATCACGCTGGGCGCTCTGCCTGAGCGCAGGTTTTGGGCCCACGGTTCCACGCTGTTAGCTGCAAATACTTTCCAGTCTAAGGACTAGAGAAGTGTCCGGTACCATCAGCAGGGTTCTCTCAGCGCCCAGCGTCAGGACCGGGCCTCCTTTGATATTGACTGTGTGCAAGTGTGTGCGATTCCCCAAATCCTTGTGCGCTTGGCTAATGAAACTACATTAGCGTGTTGGTACATATTCAAGTGTGTGTGTGTGTGTGTGTACGCGCGCACTATGGACCCGGAGTGCTCAGATGTGCCAAGGACAATGGCAGGAGGAGCTTTGGATGGTGTGTGAGATGAGGGAGACTCTAGCCCAGCCCCCGCTCTGTAGGTCCTTTCAACCACTTTCTCTCCCAGCCTCCTGGCTATCGCGTTGTTGTGTAGTTCAAAGTCTCGGATATTAGCACGTATCTCCCACCACCTTATTTTAACCCGCGCTATTTATAATACGTTCAAAATGCCAGACCACCGCAGAAATGTGTGAGGATCTGTGGGTCTCTCTGTGTCCGGCTGTAGATGCGGGTGTGTAATACAGGCTGAGTTGGTGAGATCCGGAGCACCAGCCGGAGACTGTTCGAACAACCACACCCCCTCCAGTTCACCCCCGCCGCCTCCCTTTCCATTGCAAGTGCTAATTGCGGTCCTTGCCCTGCGCCTCTGTCTTTGGGTCCTGCCGAAGGCGCTGCTGCACCGGCGGACACGTCACGGGGCACATTTATCCCCTCCCCTCTCGAGGCGCTTCTCGCTTGCTCCAGCCTTCACTAAAGAATTAACTGAAGGTTCCACTCCAGAGTCTCTGGCTATTCCTGGCAAAGAGGAGGAGAAGGAGGAAGACATTAGTGTTTCCGTGCGTGGGAGCACCGAAGTTAGGCTTTGTGAGAGTGGGGGATTTGCCTCCGATCGCTGCTGTGGGTGCGCTTGGAGAATGCGGCTGTCAGCTCTTGGAAGGTGAAATAGCAAACCCTTATTTCTCCTGTAAGGTAGAGTCCTCTCTCTAGTCGCATGTCAATGTGAACTAGCTCTCGCTTCGCACCAGCTTTTTTATTTTTTTCAATACGTGTCAAATAATAAAAATCTCTCTTTATAATATAAAACCTTTTTTTTAACGAATTGCCTTGGACTTGTTTGGATAGTGACAGCACTGAAGTGACGTTGGCCTGGAGGAAAATGGATCCTTTAATGTAACTGTTTAGGAGAACCGGATTTAGAACACGGGCTGAAGCAGCGAAATCCGCTTGGCTGCTGCAGACAGTATTCCCCGAATCTCAGATGAGAGGTGAACGGGGATTGTGCTAGGCAAAATTGCAGGCAAGTTCTGCACTTGTGGTCTAAAATACACACAGTTTGATACATACGTGTACGGTGAAAGCATATTTCTCCAGCACTGGTTGCAAGACAAGCGGTCGCTCTCCTAGATCTGATTCAGAGGGAAATGTGTGAAGGAAAAGCGAGCCTGTGGTTTTAGAGCAAGCCTACCAGCAGCTCCCTCCTCACCGGCTTTGACTTTCATTTTATGGCTGGGCTGCCTTTCCAGCTTGTCTTCTCCTCTGCACCTTGGGCTCTAGGGCCAGATCCTTTGCATTAGTTCATTAGAGAACAATTACCTTTCAAAAAAAAACATTGCAGACTGCCTAGTACAATGATTTTCTGCTGAGCAGTTACTTGAAGGCTTTGTTTTTCTGAGGGGGGAGAATTGCATAGAGCAGGAAATCATTCGCTAAACAAAGAAAAAAAAGGGGGATATGCTCCCTGAGAACGAGAAGATCCATTTCCAGCTGCAGCCACGGTCCTGGTTCATGTAGATCTTTCAGTCTCTGCTTTCCAAGTGCAAGATATTTGCATTGCAGAGTCAGCCCAGAACTGCATTCTCCTGACCTGCTGCGGCTTGTGGCACAGAGGTGGTTTCCCACTCTCGTCTCGCCCTTCTTATGTGTTGATTTTTGTTCTGTTTTTACGAAGAAAATAATATTAACGATAAAGTCAAAGTCCATGCTCGCAGCAATCCGGAAGGATCGGGTCTAATATGCCAGTGCCATCCTCCTCATTGCCGTGCAATAGCCGCCATGAAGGAAAAGTCCAAGAATGCTGCGAAGACTAGAAGGGAAAAAGAAAATGGAGAATTCTACGAACTGGCCAAGTTGCTGCCTCTGCCTTCAGCTATCACCTCCCAGCTGGACAAGGCCTCCATCATCCGCCTCACCACCAGTTACCTGAAAATGCGAGCTGTCTTCCCAGAAGGTAAATCCCTCGGCTGCTTCCGGGGCACCTGCTGCTTCTCATAAGGCAGGGGCGGCGGTGGGGGGACAGCACATATTGGGTGCAGTTTCTTAGCAGTTACAATCATCTGCGTTTCGAGGGTGCAAGGGGGTCTGAATGAGCCGTGACAGTAATTGAAATAGTTGCTGTCTGTCCTTGAAGACAGTGACTGTTTATAAATAGCCACCCCTCCCTACGCACACCCCAGGCCGTCTCTGTGAATTGTATTTCCAAGTGTAGCCTGTGCCCAAGGTGCTAAGCAGGCAGGGGGCCAGTCGCCATGAGTTTAGTCGTATTCATCAGGCTTATTTTAAAGCTCAAATAATAACCCCGAGTTTGGAACGGGAATATTTGTAGGTCGTGTTGCGGTGCGCTGAGTCCGACAGAACCGGGAGGAGGAAAGAAGCAGAGTTCTCTAACCCAGGGCAATGAGGCTGCTTAGATCTTGGGGAAATGGTGCCAGGCAGCGGACTAAACACCAAGCAAGATCTGTGCGTGGTACAGTCTGTGATTTTGTTTTCTTTCTTTCCCTGTGTGTGGGGGCGGTTAGAGCTGCTTAAAATTATTTCCCTAATTTAGGACGCGATAATACAAAGTGTAGAGACCAGACCTAGAGCAGAATGGGGGGAGGGGATCCAGCCTACAACCAGCAGGTCAGGCACGTCGTTGACGAGGCCTAGAACCAAGAATGCCTTTGGATAACAGTAGGGACAAAGTTGGTGTTTTATCTTCACTCTCTCCCATTGGAGCGAGAAAGCCTGAAGATTTGGGGGATGGGTCATGTGGAAAATAGGAGAGCACAAATTCACATGCAACTCACTTGCAAGAGGTAGAGACAGAAAACTTCGTGAGAGTGGCACAAGATTTCTGAGAATAACTCTAATAAAACGGACACCACAACAAAGGAACCTATTTAAAATACGTGTGAATAATATAAATATAATATAATTAATATCAATGAACTTGCAGGTGTGATTTAAAAACAAACAAACAAACATAATCTCCAACCGGCCCAGAGTGTATAAAAATTGGTACCAAAAGAACTAGACATAACACTGAACACACAGGGCATTACTTGGGCTTAGTTTCCGCTCTGCCACACACATTGTCTGCTCACTTGCAGCGCGGCTAGACTTGTAGCGCGCACGCATTGTGCTAACAGTTTTAAAGAGTCGTCCCCTCTCTGAGATTATTTTGATTTTGCTTCTCGCTCTGTCCCTCAACTTACTGGTCATGCAGCAGCCGGGGCTCTGCTCTCAACCCCAAACAAACAAACAGCAGCGAAATGTCAGCGCGTCCCGAACTGATAAATAGAACGGGTTGCGTTAGGTGGGCCGGCGTGGCATGGTGCATCAGCCTGGAGTCCATTTGTCAGCAGGAGGATATCATTAGTTACATAGCGCTGCGGACATCTGCTAGAAGCCTCCCCCCTGCCCCCGCCCGTTACTAATTGCACGGGAAATTGTTTTCATTCTCCTGGGGGGCCGGGGGTATCCCCGGCGGGTGTTTGTTTCTGAAAACGCGGCATTTACCTAGCTGTATGGTCTTTGAACGCTGCCCCGTCCACCTGCCTGCAGGGATCCAACTCACAGAGCTCAGCATTTCTAGCCTCGCCCGCGTCGTTTGCACCCACGCCAAACCCTTTAAACATTGGAATGAATCGGCGCACAGAACAGGGCTGGCTGCGAACTTAGCTGTAAAAAAAGTGTCATAAAATTCGCATCCGTAAGTAGACTAATAAACCCTCTTTTGTAAACGAGCTACAGGTTCAAGATTTCATCTTTGGTTGTTAATGATCATGCCCCGCTTCTGCAAGCGCCGGGGAGGACCCTAACTCGGACCAAATCCCCAGTAGGACTTTTTTTTTTTGCAAAGGGAGGCTTTGCTTGAGCCGGGACTGTAGGACGCGGCCTTTTTCAATGCCATTGAAAATCTGCTGCGAAATGAGAGATCCGGGCAAAGATCTGAGTGCGAGGCAGTATGGTCCCCTACTCCCACTGGGCAGCGCCTTCCTCCATAGCGAGCGCCATTGGCTTCAATGGGATATGCAGGCCTATTCAACTTGGATAAAGGGATCTGAATCTGGCCCTTTGGCTCTCGCGTGTGTGCAGACCCCAGTCTGCTCGACTGAGCCTTAAACACCCTGTCTTTTAAAGGGAGAGCGAGCAATGCACATAAAACTTGAGATTTCCCCCTCGGACTTTTTTAAACCAAACACTGAATCCAAAAAATACCAACCCCTTCCCAATCCCATACACACAAACCTCTTCCCCCCAAACAAGTACACACTTCAGATGTTTCTTTCACTAAGCGGAAGTGGCCAACTGACATACATTGTGTGGGGCCGTTTGTAATATGTCATGTTGTGTGATCACTAAACTGGATGAGAGAAATGAAATTAAATGCTGGTTAATATTCTCTAGATGGTTAAATAAACCCAAATCTCTTCCTTTGTGATTTGTTTGGCCTGTCTGGACAGATGATGGGGGAGGGGAGGAACAATTAGCATTCCAGAATGAAAAGTTTGTTATTCATCTTAGTTTCTAAGGAGCTTATGAAAGGGTTACAAATTAAAAACGAGAAAATCTTTATCAGCTACGTCAATAATTATGAGCAATGATTACTTAGTATTACATAAAATCAACAATTCTGTTTAACCGAAAGAGTTCTATAAAACATATAAAATAAAGAAATTTACATTCTAATAGTAATAAAACATCCCAGTGCTTTGGTATATTCTAATGACTTTCGAAAATTTAAGTCATTATAAAAGTTCCGATTAAGAAATATCTTATAATAATTTCGGGAGGGGGTTCCCAATTTTTGATCGCAAGTTTTTCCTCCAAAATAAGTGAATTACATATTTAGAAATACATATGTTGAGACTTCTCTGGACAGGGTTATATTACAAGTTTCCCAGATAAAACTCTCCTATTGAACGAACTGTGTCAACGAACAATTGCAATGCTCAAAGAACACTTAAAAACCAGAGGATGAAAGCCTCGCGAGTTTATATACCCAGGATGGCAGTGTCTTATGTGTAAATTCTCTTCAGACCAAATGACTGTGTGCTTCTGCACTCCCCACATGCTTAAGAGTAATTTTTAAAATACATATGACAAACGTATTCTTTTGCCATAAATACTGCGTAAATATATTGAAAAACCAGAACACTGAGAACAGTATATGAAAGACGAAGTAAATAATTTACTCCTGTGTTTCTGAATATATTTTTTAAACTCATACGGGGAGAGTTGTTGGAAAGTGATGATTACATTATTTCAGCCATGCCCATTAATAAATTGGTTCAGCTTTGGAAAGTTTCAAGCTGGGAGCTACTCTCTGCCAGACAATTTGTGGGGAAGTGGTTGGGTCATAATTCCTTTCACTATCAATAACTCCCTTCATAGTTGGGTATCTTTCCTCAGGAAAGAGCTGATGTTTCTGAATTTGGTTTTTATAGGAAATTATAATGAACGTCTCCCTCTCGCCCTGATATTTTCCCAAATGGCATTATTTAGTGGCCTTAGTCAGCAGAATAGAAATAACAACTTTTTAGATTTAGTGTTACAGACAAGTGCAGTCTGGGATCAGTGCCCCAAAGTGAAACAGAGCCTGGAGAGCTATCATTTTTTGATCTCCGAAAGAGCCATCGTGCATATTTTCTGCTATACAATATTTTGCTGAGATCTTGGTTTTTTGAGAGAAATAGATGATGTGTCTGCAGTCAGTATTTTAAACTCTCTTGTAACAGAAAATTACTTCAAGGTTTTGCAGATGTGTAGTGACTCAATGTGCCCATCAGCGATCATGTGTCTCCAAGACATAAATATAAGGCACATGGCTGCAAACTGTACTTGATGTGATTTTTTAATCCGCGCATGACAGACAACCAAGACACCTTTAGGGCCAAATCCGCCTCTCATCGAAGTCCATGGGAATTTGCTATTCACATCAATGGGAGCAGAATTTGGCCCAGAGGAATATGTCCTGGCTAGAAACCAGCTTCCTTTTATTGTGCCAAAATTTCTAAAAGGTGAATCAAATCTAGAATAACCTATGTTGAGATATATAATTACATTGTAAATACAAGAGGAAAAGTGCACTACCACCACTCTCCAATGTGTGTAAACATTCACTTTTACGACTGAATTATCATCTTCGTGATAACACTGAGCCAGTTTTGTTTCTTTAAGCTGGGGTGGGAGGGTGGGGGAGGCTGAGGGGAAGAGACGTCCGAAGTCTGCAACCTAAGTGCTAAACCATCGAATTTCTACTACATTTGATCCGAATTATTGTCCCGCTATGAAACTTGCTTCCAGCCCTGAATAGGCCAGGAAAAAGGGTGGGGTTTTAAAAGCCTTGGTAGTTAACGGTTTAAAAACGCCCTGGCACGTAGTGTAGACAACTTTTAATACATTTTAAAAGGTGTCCGCGGCTGTGGGCATCCCTATGCTCCCCTAGACTTCGGGACTTGAGGCAATCAGATTTCCCATCCAACCAGTTACTGTATGTTTAGAAGAGGCTCAGTTCAATCTGGGCCCACAGAACTCCTTGCGGGAGGATCCGGAACAGGCCCACCGAAGTGAGAGTGAAAGGAGAGTTACATTAAACCTCTTTTGTTCTCCCAAAGTGCTAGTCTTGTGGGGTATAATTTCGTGCTTCGCTATAGTATTTTTTTCCGTGTGGATTTGCTCTGACCTTCACATTCTGACTTAAAATCCAGGCGACAAAAACATAGCGTATATCCCTACACTCAAACTCTGTAGCCTCATCCTCTGTAGCGTTTTGATATTTTGCCAAGCCATTTATTGCTGCAGAACAAAAAAATACTACGAGATATTTTTGGTGCTTGGCTGTCAATATGTTTTTCCACAAATGAACAAATAGAAGGGGAGCGAGGCGAGTGGGGGGGGGGGTGAGGACTATTGTTGAGTTGAAAAGATCCCATCCACCAGGTTATGGCGCTGAGGTTAAATTGT